AATAATAATAATAATAATAATAAAAAAAAATAAAAACATCCTTTGCAAAGTCACAGGGCATCCTCATCTGTGGAAGCCGATGGGGCGACTTTGGGCCAGGCTTTAATTTTGACTCATCCTACCTCACAGGGTTATTGTTGTTGCAGGATGGGGGGGGGGGAAGGAAAAGGGAGGCGGCCGAAAGCATGAGGTCTCCTGAGAGCATCCAAATCCCTCCAAAGTCCCTGGAGAGGAGCCCATTCATGCAAGTTTTCACTCCCCAAGTCCCTCCAGGATTTTGCAGCAGGAGGCTATGTTCACACGTGTCTCTTAACTCGAGTTCTCGTTTAAGCTGTTTGCGGGGAGGGGGGGGGTCAAATCAAGCAATGCGTTCTAGCTCCCTGAACACGTGACCCCGCCAAAGCTCCAACCCTGTTCAACACCCAGGTCCACCCCGCGTGTCGTGTGAACGCAGCCACGTTTTACACCATATTTGGCTTTCAGTTCCCGCCCCCCCAAATGCTCTCTTGTCCTACTAGCGACATCGCCCCCTCCCCGTACAGCATACCCGTTGTTTCCCGCCCACAGGTCAAGCGTGCTCCCTTGATGTCTCAGGCTGCGGGTTTGACTGCTAGGCCGCACCGTTCCCCTGGCAACCGTCTAGGCCCTGCCTCTCTTTTCCTTCTCCCGGGGACGGACTTCAACTCAGCCTCGCGACACTTTGAAAGCCTCCTTCGCTCTCTCCGGCCGCCATCTCAACTACGGGCAAATTGCCCGTCTCCTTAACCTCTCCTTTGCTGCAGTGCTCGGCTTTCCCTTTTTCTTCGCGGTTTGGAAAAAAGAAGCACGCTTCCATTTGAAACGTGGAAATCTCGCAAAAAAACAGACAGACAACTCCTGAGGGGAGGGGGAGAGAGGGGGCGAGAGAGGAGAGGAAAAAGAGAGAGACAGAGAAAGAAAGGAAGGAAGGGAGGGACGAAGAAAGAAAGAAAGAAAGAAAGAAAGAAAGAAAGAAAGAAAGAAAGAAAGAAAGAAAGAAAGAAAGAAAGAAAGAAAGAGAGAGAAAAAGAGAAGGAAAGAGAGAAAGCGATAGAAAAAGAAACGGAAAGGAAGGAAGGAAAGAAGGAAAGAAAAAGGGAGAGAAAGAAAGAAAGAAAAGGGGAAGAGAAAGAGAAAGAAAGAGGAAAAAACAGAAAGAAAGAAAAGAGAGAAAAAGAGAAAGAAAACAAAAGAGAGAAAGTGATAAAGAAAGGAAGAAAAACAAAGAAAAGGGAAAGAAAGAACATAGAGAAAGAGAGAAAGGGAAAGAGAAAGAGAGGGAAAGAGAAAGAAAAAAGAGTGAAAGAAAAAGAAAGGGAAAGAAAGAGAGAAAGAGAAGAGAAAGGAGAGAAAGAGGAGAAAAAGGAGAGAGAGAAATTCCCCAGGTGAATCAAAGGAAGAAATACCTGGTTATTTAATAAACAACCATTTATTACCAGCGGGGTTTTGCCTTTTTTGCAGGCTTTCACGCGAGTGGAAAAAAATTGGTCGTCAGAAGATCACAGAGGATCCACTTCAGGAAAGGCGTCAAAAAAGTTTCCCTAGCGAGCTGTGATGGCCGAGTGGTTAAGGCGTTGGACTTGAAATCCAATGGGGACTCCCCGCGCAGGTTCAAATCCTGCTCACAGCGTGTCTATTTTGCACGTTCTGCCTGTCTCCCAACTGCCACCGGTTTCTCTTCCTTTAATAAGGGGCTTCGCCGTTTCGACAAGGGTGCAAAATACTCTTACGACCGCTATTTGAACAAGGAGGGGGGGGGGATTGCACTTTTCCCTTTTTCAGTGCTTTGATGCTGAATATAAACCGATTTTTTAAAAAGCCTTGGAACCTTTGTGTGGTGGAATGCAAACATTCAGAATTCCCCTTTGCCAGCAAGAGCATTTGGGAGTTGAAATTTATTTACCCCCCTTAATGCTTCCAAGCTCCAAAAAAAAAAGAGAGAGATAAACAGAAGGGACCCTCAAACATAATTTAAAAATACTTAGATCAAAACTGCAAAAAAATAATAATGCAAGAATGAAACCGACTTTGCAAACACGAATAAATTCAAGGCTCCCTCCCTCACAAGCATATTTTTTAAAAATATTTTTAAATTTTATTTTTTAAATATTTTTTTAAAAAAGTTTTCAAAGGCAAAAAAAAAAAGAAAATTGTGGAGATGCCGGGGATTGAACCCGGGGCCTCATACATGCGAAGCATGCGCTCTACCACTGAGCTACATCCCCTTGCTCAGGTTCTCATCTGATTGCTTTGCTATTGATGCGCCGTTACTTTGAATTGAAGAGTTCCTGAATATGTACAGAGTACTTACACGGTCCGGGAGCAAAGATGCACGAGCATGTGCAAAGGGCGGGATGGAAAAGCCTTGACCCCCTTTTTTAAAAGCTTTTTCCCTTGTTTTCCCTATCGGAGTTGTTGGGTTTTGTGTTGTTGTTTTTTTGCACCATTGCTGCTGCGGGCGCCACGTTGCAAAAGTGGAGATCTCTTTTGCAAAAAATAAAAGAAAAAGTTCCTTTTAGAATTATTCTACCTTTACATACTGAGATTAGGAAAAAGGGGAAAATTGGCCAAGTGGCGCCGTGGCTTAGTTGGTTAAAGCGCCTGTCTAGTAAACAGGAGATCCTGGGTTCGAATCCCAGCGGTGCCTTGTTTTTTTTTTTTTTTTCCCTTCCTACTGCACCCCCAAAATTCGCTCATTTCCCCTTCGCCTCTGCAAAATGGCCACGGGTGCAAAGAGCTACGGTCCCGTTTTTCCTAAAAATGCACCCCCTTTTCGCCTTGCTACTCCAGCCAGACAGAAAGAAAGAAAGAAAGAAAGCCAAGGATGCAGGACAAGAATCGGCTGCAATGTGGGAAATTTAAACCAGAAGCCGGGTTTGGGTGAAGAAATTTTTATGCAATTGTGGATCATCTCCTGGATAGAAAATTAATAATAATTTTTTTAAAAAAAAAAAAGTCTATGTTGCATTGGCCGGGAATCGAACCCGGGCCTCCCGCGTGGCAGGCGAGAATTCTACCACTGAACCACCAATGCTTCCTTGTTTGGTTAAATTTTTATAAGTATATAAACTCCATGCAATGCAGAAAAATATCATCTATTCAATCTGTCCATCTAGGAGTCCTCCGTTTATGACCACAATTGAGCCCCAAATATCTGCTGCTAAATGAGACATTTGTTAACAACCATTTTACAACCATTCTCACCACCGTTGTTCAGGAAATCACCACGGGTGTTATGTTAGTGACACGTTGTTAAGTGAATCGGGTTCCCCGCCACCCCCGGCCTGTGCTTGTTGGAAGGCCACAAAAGGCGTGACCCAGGGACGCTGCAAACTATCGTAAATACCAATCCGTCACCAAGCGTCTGGATTTCGTGATCACCTGACCACCTGATTTCGTGATCACCTGATCACCTGATGCTACGACAGTCGTTAAGTGTGAAAAATGGTCATAAGTCACTTTTTTCAGTACTGTTATAACTTCGGTTACTAAATGAACTGTTGCAAGCTGAGAACTACCTGTACTGTATGATTTTTTTTTCTAATCTAGTTTTTATCTAATATATTTTTCCGCTTACTATATAGTGCCTGCTGTCCTATGCCTGATGCCTTCACTTATATATATATTTTTTGCATTATTAATAATACTCTTGTTGGCATTATGATGATGATATTGGCCAGGATTATGTTGGTTTGCATGTATGATGAGAGCTTCTGCACCCAAAACAAATTCCACACTTGGCCAAATCAAGGATTCAGTTCAATTCAATTCTTTTTCTCTCTCCAGAATTCCCTCACTTGAGACAAATTGCCTGGATGTTTTCTCTCTCCCTCAACTACTCTTAATAGCAAGACAGACTGAGCTTCCCTGAGAGGTGCTTAACTCTACTACCTGGATTAGCTCATTAGCACCCAGGACCAGTTTAGGCAGCTACCGGTATGTGAAATTGGCATGATCCTAATCAACGTAACCCATTTCGTATCCTAAGGAATTTGGCACCAAGGCATTCCTTTCCATGTGTATACAGAATAACTGAGTTGGAAAGGAACTTAGAGGTCTTCTAGTCCACCCCCCTGCTCAAGCAGGAGAGCCTATATCATTTCAGATAAGTGACTGTCCAGTTTCTTCTTAAATATCTCCAGTGATAAAGCATCCACTTCTGGTGGCAAGCAGTTCCATTGGTTCATTGTTCTCCCTAGGCAGTTTCTCTCCATGAATAGTTTCCATCCATGGTTTCTTGTCCTTCCTTCTGGTGTTTTGGAGAATAATTTGATCTTCTCTTCTTTGGGGCAGCTCCTCAAATACTGGAATAGTGCTATCATGTCGCCCCTGGTCCTTGTTTTATGCAGACTGGCCGAACTCAAATCCTGCAACTGTTCTTCATATGTTTTCGTCTCTAGACCTTTAATAGTTGCTCTTCTCTGCACGTTTTTTTCCCCCAAAGTCACAACCTCTTCCCACATGCCTGGCCTCCAGTTTTGTCCTGCAGAGCAAAGCATCAACCCCCTTTCTTGTGAAAATATCTGTTAAACTGTTTCGACTCCTTCCCTCAAAACGACGCTATAGAGCCCTGCACACCAGAACAACTAGACACAAGGGGAGTTTTTTTCCCAAACGCCATCACTCTGCTAATCAAATATTTCCCTCAACACTGTCCAACTATTGACAAAGTTTGCACTACTATTACTATTAATCTTCTCATCACTCCTTATCACCATCTCCTCCCACTTGTGACTGTATAACTGTAACTTTGTCGCTTGTATCCTTACGATTTATATCGACTGCTTCCTACTATGATTTGATTGCTTATTGCACCCTATGACTGTCATTAAGTGTTGTACCTGATGATTCTTGACTCTTGACGAATGTATCTTTTCTTTTATGTACACTGAGAGTCTATGCACCAAAGACAAATTCCTTGTGTGTCCTATCACACTTGGCCAATAAAGAATTCTATTCTATTCTCTTCTCTTCTCTTCTAATTCTATATTTTATTATTCTATTCTATTCTATTCTATTCTATTCTATTCTATTCTATTCTATTCTATTCTCTATTCCATTCCATTCCATTCCATTCTATTCTATTCTATTCCATTCCATTCCATTCTATTCTAATCTAATTCTATATTTTATTATTCATTCTATTCTATTCTAATGCTATATTTTATTATTCATTCTATTCTATTCTATTCTGTTCTAATTCTATATTTTATTATTCATTTATTCTATTCTAATGCTATATTTTATTATTCATTCTATTCTATTCTGATGCTATATTTTATTATCTATTTTTTTTCTCTATCCTTTTTTCTGTTCTTTATTCTATCCTATCCTATCCTATTTTCCACCTTTCCCCCCCACCCCATTTATAACCACTGCTCCACAGACTCCACCCCTCCAAATGGCACCCACTCCTTAAAACATCTGGATAAAAGGTAGTTGTGCCTGTGTGATACGGTGAGCAATTGCCACTTTTTGGCCCTTGGCCACAAACAAGTTTTCTGCGAGACTGACTATGAAGCTTGTGTGTGTGTGTGTGTGTGTGTGTGTGTGTGTGTGTGTGTGTGTGTTTAGACACAAACACACATGCACACTCCAAAAGAGACACACCA